GGCCCATTGTCTGCCAACCCTATATATGATCTTGGATACACTCTCCATTTAGACATACCTAATTGTTTAGCTTGTTCACCTATCTATCCGTGTGGACCCATTTTTATGGCAACAGAAAAAAATAAAATAACATCCTCAAAAGACAAAAAGACAACTTGAGAAGGAGTATTTGGAGTATATCACCAATAAGGGTTCCTTTTCTTAATATATAAAGAGCTCCCATGAATCAATAGTAATACTTCCTACAAAGCAGGCAGTGCTATAAAAACTTAACACATGTTACTCAAGCCATCATCACAAACAATCCATGACACAGGTGTTCTACTTCCATCCCCATCTTGCAGGTCAGGAGTCTGAGAACCAAGAGGTTGAGGAACTTGCCCAGAGTCACACAGGTACATAAATGGCAGAGCCGGGGCTCAAGGAAAGGCAGGTGTGCCTGCAGAGCCCACGCTACCCACCACAGAGCCATCCTCCCTCCAGCAAAGGACCAAGAGCTCGCTAGTGGTGTCCCTGGGGCAGTGGTTCGTCCAGTATTCACATGCACATCTCACACACAGATGGAAACAAAGGTAAAGACGCACTCTTATTCATCAGATGGGCCAAGAAGTCTGATAATCCACCTCCTGGCAAAAAGCAAGGAAACAAGACTCCCAAGGGCCACCCTACAGAAGATACTTGGGCGTTAGCCATCCCATACACCAGGGAGACCTGGTGGCATAGTGGTTAGACTGCTTGGCTGCCAAACAAAAGGTTGGTAGTTCAAACCCACCAGCCACTGTGCAGGAGGAAGACATGGCAGTCTACTCTGTAAAGATCACAGCCTTAGAAGCCCTGTGTGGCATTTCTACAGGGAGTCACTATGAGTCGGACTCAAAAGCAGTGGGTATTAAACACACTGAAAAAGGGTCTGACTTGAGGACGGTACACCGTGCGATCCTCAACCTGTATGACCATGAGACCAGAACTTGATGGTGCCCGGCTACCACTGTCAACCACTCAGAAAGGATCAGTGCAGGAGATCCTGGGTAGAGTGGGGGAACAATGTGGGACAAAACTCAAAATCATTAAAAAAGACCAGGTTTGCTGGTCTGATAGAGCCTGTGATACCCCTGAGACTATAGCCCCTCGTTACCCTTCAGGTCTGGAACTGAACTCACTCTTGTAGCTTCCAGCCAAACAAGAGATAGGCATATGG